TTATTCTCTCTCAATCACATTATGTAGAAAGTATCCTTGGGAAATTTGGACACTATGATTGTAAATCGGTTGAAACACCTCTTGACTGTAGTATTCACTTAGGGAAACAAGTAGGAGAACCTGTTTCACAAAAGGAGTATGCAAGTATAATTGAATCTGTATCTTACTTAATGAACTGTACAAGACCGGACATAGCTATAGTTGTGGGAAAATTAAGTCAGCACACTCATAATCCCAAAAATGAACATTGGGAAGCTCTAATAAGATTATTAAAATATTTAAAATGAACCATAAATTTTGGTTTACATACTCAGGTTTTCCTCATGTTTTAGAGGGCTTTACTGATGCGTACTGGATTTCAGATTCAAAGGATAGTACTTCCACCAGTGGATATGTGTTTACTCTAGGTGGAGGATCAGTATCGTGGAAACCAGTAAAGCAATCATGCAATACAATTCAACAATGGAGGCCGAGTTTATTGCACTAGAATTGGTAGGGTCGGAGGCAGAGTGGCTAAGGAATTTGCTGGCAGATATACCATTTTGGCCGCGGCCGGTTCCATCCATATCTCTCCATTGTGATAGCCAAGCAGCAATAGTCAAAGCCAAGAACCAGACGTACAACAATAAAAGAAGGCACTTGGTAAGACAATACCTCAGCAAATGTACAATCGCTCTAGATTTTGTAAGGTCTGAAAAGAACCTTGGAGATTCGTTAACCAAACCATAGACTTCTAAGGTAGTTTATGAGGCATCAGTAGGAATGGGGCTGAAGCCTGTTACAAAGTCATTAGTGATGAACACCCAACCTATGTGAAATGAGATCCCTGGAATTAGGTTGAATGGATAAAAACGAGTCACTAGATGACTTGGGAAAGCACTATCAATTTGTGTCCCATTTCAGATGCCAAGGTAAAATAGTGCTCACTACAATTTGAGGAGGTTGAGCATGATGCTCTTAATCAGTTAGGAATAGTGAGCAGTGCACACTAATAACTAACCTAAGTGAGTGTGAAGTGTGGCCGCTTCTAAGAGAGATCTAGGACTGACTCTCTAAAACACTCATGATTCCAAAAGGGGAACAAGGCTGAAATGTTCCAAAACAAAAGAACCACTAAAGAACTGGTGAGTTGACTTGGTTGGCCGGTTAGCTAGTTACGACAAAGAGGAAAGGTTGAAGGAGTCTGATTCCACCCATACTCTGTAACACAGCCTATCATACCTAAGTGTTTATTGAAATCCAAAAGACATCACCATGAATACTTTTCTCACTACGATGCTCAGATTGTTCGATCTTCTTGTAATTTTGAATCTTGTGGGGAATTGTTGGAGGGAGATTCAAATTTTCAAGAATCTCTCTCCTCCCTCTTGTTTTTTGTCTTTTCCTCTTCCCACCCTTGAGTGCATGGGAAGACTCCTTGTCCCGCATTACTTGGGAAAGGAGTGAAGTTAAGTATATTTGTAGTTTTGCTCTCTCTATGGGTAGGGACCTATAGGAGGAGAGCACTATAGATATTCCATGCATGTGAGGGGGGTTGGGGGTGCTTTTCACATGCGCACGCCAAGCCGAGCCGAGACAGGCCGGGCCAAGTCGGGGCATGGGCGAGGGTGCGGGTGCGGGTGCGTATGCGTGTGCGTGTGCATGTGTGATCACCCGGCTACACCGTAAGGGGTAAATGCAGTTTTAAGGAGAATAATCAAGTGGCATGACTCAATCCTCCTTGCAATTTCCAATTTCGAGATTCTGCATTATCACATCTCTACAAGTTTGATTTGAAAAGCGAATACCGATAAGTTCCATTCTATCTTCTTTACTATTTTTGCAACAAACAATCTTCATTCCAACCCTATTTCTTTTCAGGTTGGATTGGATTTAGTTCGAATTGGTCCATCCCAAGTTGCATCTCTAATGCCATCCTATCAATTATCAAAAGAGTGGATCCTCACATCCCATCATCACTAGATATTCAGACTAAAGATCCACTGCCAACGACCTCCCAAGGGGGGATTAGTATTGAGGATAGAGTTTACTTTACTAACACTGTCTAAAATTTTCCCAAAGTTTTTAGATGCCTCAAAGCTATGTTTGATTTGATAGAAAATAAGTGAAACAAATATTTGTTTATTAGAAAAAGAATGTTGACTTCATTGGCATCTCTAAAATTCTCCCCAACCTTTAGATGCCTCAAGCTATGTTTTGTTTGGTAGAAAATTTGTTTCTCTCTGATTCTCTATCAAACCAAATACAACCCAAAAAGAATCCATCATAGACGAAATACAAAATTACCACTCTGCCCATCATCTTGTGTACCTTCATATATGTCTATTTTAGAGTGTAAATAAAGACATGATACCTAAAAGTTTGATAACGAATCAACCTATACGGTAATCAATCAGCTGGCATTCATCAAAATTCATAAATTTTCCGGTATCATATCCTTTCGGCATCATAGAAATTGCTGTATATCTTAACATAGTCATAATGCCCGAGTAATGGGTATTTTGTAAATAACCAAAATGCCAACTTGCAGACGAGTGATACACCTAATAAAATGCACGAGAGCACATAAAATGTTAGGTGTAGGTGCGGCATTAAATAAACCCTCTTAACCAACATACATTTTTACATAGAGAACCCAATTCAATGTTTAAAGTTTGGCATACCAATGGGCAACCAGATCAACATGATTCCTTGCTTTCTTATTGTAATTGTATTATTGTGTATGACTATGAATAAAGTGGATGAAATAGTGTAAATGCCATGATACTGCAGTTATAGGGTCTATGTCCTTACTATAAGAATTTCTTCTCTTTTTCCTTCAAGAAAGAAAAAGATATTGGTTAAACATGTTTCAGGGGTAATATATGTCATAAAAATTAGATGAAATGATGTCAAAAAGGATGATAGGTCATTTTAGCTATTTAGAAATTATCTCTCAATCAGGTTTGGTTTGGTTTGGTTTTGTTTTCATTATTGGTTACTACTATTATGAGACCCACTTCTTAAAAATAGAGAGTGTGATTCATGAAATTTTTTGATGGGTTTTTTTTCGACCCCCTCAGGTCACTAAATCACCAGAAACTTAAAATACCAATTATAGGATTCAAGATCATGACCTAATTAGTTGCAATAGGTTGTCTTGTCATATATGCATTTTAGTATAATATGAATGGTGAGACTTGATCCCTGGTCATTTATAGCCACAAATAATATTTTTACATAAATTATAAGCTACGAAAAATGTTATATATATATATATATTTGAATGACTGGCAGCAAACATTCCAATATTATGATTTATGCCCTGTCCGAATCTCACAACAGTGTAAAATAGAGGAAAAAAAATTAATTCATTGATAAAACCAGAGGGTATTTAAGATATTTCCAGAAAAGAAAGAGAACGAATAGTGGACTGCATCTCATCCCCACCATGAAGGCAACTTTGCACTTTGCAGTCACTTAGAAAAGAGAATTGGCTTGAAATCACAAACTGGCAGAAAGACGACCCCTCGGAACGACCCACCCCGTTGGGAGTCCCCACTTCCCCCCCACTCCAGTAAGCAAAGCCTTGTCCTTGAGTCGTTGTCTCTTACAAGGTCATGTGGTACATATATAAGATAACATTGCATACATGGTCTAGGCTCCCGTTATCCTGTGGACTGTGGTCGTTCATGGAACTGCTCCCACCATGAACAATGTGAATTGTGGATCATGTCATGTAATGTAAAGCCAGGCGAGTAGAATGGACCACGTACCCTGGGGCCTGGACCTGGACCTGGACCCGTACTAAGAAGAAATAAAAATAAAACACCGACGTTTTTATCGTTTCCATCAACCTTTAGCTCCAGCCTCCAGCCTCAATGTGTTGTTGTTGCCTTGTGGGTTCAACTCCCAATAGGCAACAATAGCACTAACAGGACATATTCCTTGCCTCCAGTTGCCAGTTGGTCGACTTGACTCACGAAAGGATTAGATTTAGATTGGATGGGAGATATGATCTACAGTCGAAGTTGTTGCGTACCTTTTTCCCACCCAGAAGGTCTGTTCTTCCTTCTCTTCAAGACTTGGTAGGACTACTTTTTTACTCAACAGATTTTTTTTTTTTTTTTTGGAGTTTCTGACCCAACACACCTGATTTGTATTGTGGTCCAAACTAGAAGATCTGACAGTCAAATGTCTAAAACTCGGACAGCTGATCCGAGAACAATCACGGAGAACAGATGAGGCATCTCCTCTCAGAAGGGGATTCTTTTTTGTGGGAAAAACAGAACAGAAAAAGGCAAAACCAAAAAGCTCTCCTCCCACCGGCCAAACCCAAACGTGACCCAAGTGGAAAGCAATCTTACAATCATCAGCAATTGAGTTTTCTATAGCTTTTCCCTATTACTCCGACGACCTAGGATTTGATAATAAATTAAGGAGCAATTAAGACATTAAACATGTTATTATCTGGGAGGCCCACCTTCAGGCTTCAGTGGCAGACTGGCAGGTGCTGCTGTAGGGCATAGCAGAGGTATAGACAATGGAGCGGGGCCGGCATCTTCCTCTTCTCCCACACGGATCCTAGTGGACTTGATAGAAATCATTAGCAGACCTTTGCCGTCAATCGCATTCAAAACGTCAGGCCCCCTGGTTTCTAGTCCACGCATTTATTCCATTTCTCAGGTTGTTTCTACCCGATAACAAACAAATAACAGTACTAATGATATAACAGAAACAATAGCAACAGCTACAAAAGCCAGCTGTATATGTATTCTCTGTGAACTTGGAGCCTGCTGGTGAGGGAGAGAAGGTATCCCGCCTTATCCAAGGTGACGGGCCAAATCCAATCCAGGCCTCTTCGCAATTTGCATTGTCAAAATACACAAACACAAATTGTGTCTTCAAGATAAACCCATTTTCTGTACACCTTTTCCCTAAACAAGTCTGCCGGCCTCTGAACATAATATCAGAGAAAAAAAAAACATCAAACAATCACATTCAGGAATAACAAATTACCATTCAGGAAATGGGATAGAGTGGCATGGATCTTTCTTTAATAGTCTTACAGCAATCTCAGTAATCACCAAAAAGACAAACCACTACAATTTGAAGACAGAAGAAGCATCTTTCACATAGGACTTACTGCCAACATATGGCATGTAAACCCAGGAAAAAAAAACGTTTTCAATTTCACCTTCTGAATCTCTAATTCCTCCATAACAAGCAACTATTTCTTCACCAAGTAGAATGTACCAACTTGCAAGARACAGAAGACGTGCCTCCACCGCAGACAAGTTATAATCAAAGTTTCCATGAACTTCACCAAGTAGAATGTACCAACTTGCAAGAAACAGAAGACGTGCCTCCACCGCAGACAAGTTATAATCAAAGTTTCCATGAACTTCACCAAGTAGAATGTACCAACTTGCAAGAAACAGAAGACGTGCCTCCACCGCAGACAAGTTATAATCAAAGTTTCCATGAACTCCCCCTTTCCCCAACCACCAACACATCCATTTATGATAAATAGCAGAAACATTAAATCTAATCACCTACAATACAACAACATGGGATGAGGCGACCCCATCTTACCAAAACTCTGCCTACATCACTTCCCCTTCCAATGAACCTTTTTGAAGGAACATGACAAGCATGAAATGTAAAACTTTACAGGTTTCCCACTTCAAATGCTCCTCCAACAGCCCAAGCAAAGATAAGATATGCCATCTTTGCTTGAAAAGGTATGAAAAAAGAAAGCATACGGGGCAACATCACCCTTGTTGACGAGGCATGAGGGAACCGAATTGCGGGTTTTAAAAGGTACCCGCTGTACACTTGCTCCTGCAAACTTGAAAAGATTTTAACCTTGTTCAGCAGCCACCATATGAACAGCTAAGACATTCCTGTCACTAGCCTACTGGATTACGTGTTTACAAGATTGTCACAAATGAAGGTGCATCAGCTCTAGGCCCTTCAAGAGATCGATACATGTATAACTTATCAATGGAATCATCTATGTCTCCTTCATCTGTGTCCCCAATCACTTCAACAACCAAATAAGGCATTCTTCGAGCAACTTCCTTGCACCCTTCAAGGGTTAGTTTACAGGTAGACATCCAGAGGAACCTCATGCTGTAATAGTGGTGCAAGCCAGAGAGCAAAGCCAAATTCCCAAATGGACTGTCCCTAATCTCCAGCTTCTGCAATTTGGGGCAACCCTTAAGCACATACGTTAGCCCCATATCGCTATCTCCCGCAAAAGCAACAGATAAAGTCCTAATTAACTTACCATACTCCCCAATGTAACTGAAGGCTTTATCGCTGAGTAGGCCAGATACAGCAAGCCTGGTCAGCTTCTTGCAGTTCATGACTATAGCCCCAAATCCTTCATCCATGGGTTCGCCAGTCAGGTGGTCAGGACGGTGGCGTCCCATTATACAGAGGCGGAACACCACAAGTTCTGGACAGTTCCTTGACATAGCCACCACGGCTGCATTGGTCATCTGCTGGCAGAAATACAGAATGGATCGCAGCTTCCGACAGCCCTCTGAAATTGCAAGGAGACCAACTTCAGAGACAGCAGCCTCACCATCCTCACGAGCATCCATGGGAAAAACCCGGAGCTCATGGAGTTCCTTGCATGTTGCAGCAACAGCCTGAAGCCCTTCATCACATACTGAATCAAGGACCTGTAGAAATGCCAGTAATTAGGAGATTGGATTGATAAGAAAATATTGAAGTCACATCTAAGTCGCAAAGGATACTTGCCCAAAGAGTTTGGAGATTGTAGCACTGACAGATAACAGGTCTGAGTTGTTCAGCATTGATGTTGGCATAGCTGAAATTAAGTGATGTTAGTCTAGCACAGACTGGATAAATTGCCGGTAGATAGTCCGGCACAATGTCCCTGAATCCTGAGAGACAGACTAAGGATTTGCTCGTGGCAAAAGCTGAGAGATCTGGTTCTTGATCTGCCTGTGCCGGGTTATCTGAGGTGCTGAAGGATCCTGTTCCAAGATGTGTGAGCTGTGGAGCTCGGACCATCAAACGGTGGAGCTGCATGAGGTTTACATGCCGATTCAACTTGAGCCTCTTCAACGAAGGAGACCTAGCCACCAGTCGCTCCAAAGCATCAAAGTTTACAGGTGACTCCACACAGTCAAAGATGAGTGATTCAAGACAGGTCACAGACTCCGGGAAACAGGAAATCCAGTCCACATCATCCTCGTTAACTTCATCGTCAATTAGATCGAGCACTCGTAGTTGTCTGACAAATGATAATCATCATACAGCATTCATAAGGTGATTGGCGATGCAGTGTCCTACAAGAAAATATGCAATTTGTTTGCGATTTCTGTTTTCTTCCTTGTTTTTTTTTCCTTGTATAATAAGCTAGCGCATAATACTAGTAAATATTTCCAAGCAACAAAGCCAAAATGCAAAGATGGGGATTGATCTTAGGGTTAGGGTTTACTGAAGCGAGCAACAAGAGGATAGACAATAACAAAAGCAGTAACACGAATGGAAAGCCATTTAGAGATTCAATCATGCCCTGCAGGATTACCCAATCATTCGGCAATAACCTCACGGGAAGCAGAAGTTGCAAGACGAACAAAACCTTGGAAAGTTTTCTCTTTTTTACATAACTAATCGTGGTCCTAACGATATGAAGTAGAAGCTCATGACCCAAAATAGCATTTCAGGAAAAAGAAAAGAAGAAACAGACTCCATTTCAAACCATCATTCAACAGCAATGAAGTAGACAAAGAAAAAACTATTAGATAACAAAATTTGAAAGCAGAAGAGAAATGAAATGCCAAACATACCTGCACCTGGCAACGGCAGCCAGGCCGGCGGTGCCGAAACCGTCACAACAGACGAGCACAAGCTCCTTAAACGCAGGGAAGGAGTGAGCAAGGAGAATCAAATCTTCATCAGTAACGGACACCCGCTTCAGGTAAATTTTTTCCAACCAAGGATAAGCAGCGGCCATGGCAGACACCCAAGGGAAGAACTGGGCACCCCAATTGGGCGGCACCAAACTGAAATCGGCAAAGCGAGGCTTGCCCTTGAGCACCAGAGACTTCACCCTCTTGAATCTCTCGATTGCCCTGCGCGGTGAAACAGCATAACAGTTCCCGATGAAGAGGTCCGTCCGAGTCAGCGCCTCGGCCCTGTACCAAGACTTGCAAACGAGAGATGCCGAGTTGCGGTCGCGGCGTGATGTGAGGAAGAGAAGCACGTTTTCCAGGACATTCTCGAGGACTTGGTCCGGGTACGGCGACGGACAATAATCGGCGATGGTGCCGACTCCGACTCCACCACCGCCATTTCCGCCACAGCTCCGTGTTTTATTGGATGATGCCTCGACAACAATAGTTCCACCACCGGCGAGATCCGTTGTTCTATCATCATCCTCCGACATTTCGGTTGGATCTTCTCTCATCTCCCTCCTCACTCTCCCCGGATCTATACCAACCACTCTATAACCAATCAAAGATTCAATGTTTCTCCCCTTGTTACTTTTTTCGGATCACAACTTCCGCCCATCTCAGATCAGAGAAATAGAAAGCTATGTAGGGACGGGATGGGAGAAATGGAGATTGAGAAAAAAATAATCACAAGTCACAAGATTTTATGGAGCTTACCTCAGACTGAAGACAGAGAAGCAGAGAGAGAGAGAGAGATGTGAAGTATGGACTATGGACTGATGAAAGAAGATTAATTTATTCGGCCACCTCCTCCTCACACTCACAGACTCCAGACTCCACTCTACTGCGCATTGGGATTCTCCACCCCTCCTCTCTCGCTCACTCGCTCGCTCCCTGGCCTTGGCCTGGACTGTCCAAAGGGCAAAAAGACCACGGAACCCGGTCGAGTTCGGATCAGCTGCCAACATACAGTCCCAACAATGTTCCTACAAGAGAGATGTTCCGAATTTACGGCTACAATGGTGTTGGGACTGTTGGGAGTGTTTAATTGATAGCAGATCCCTACCCACCTCGGTCTTCCACCATTATTTGGTTTTATTTTTCTTCTCTAAAACCTCCTTTCTCATTTTACATATATTTTATCTTTTTCATTTTACTATTTTTTTAATCTTAATCTCGTCCCCCATCTCTTTCTATTTTTGTTGCCTAGCGACGTAAGGAAAAACAATAAGAAAAATCTTGTAGAGAGTGGATGGATGTAATTGGAGGTCTGCTTTGCTTTAGGGAGGTTGCTGAGTTAGCATTGTTTGTCATTTTACTCTCTCTCTCTCTCTCTCAGATATATATAATTTTCCGGAGTCCGGACCTCATCCCTTTCTCTTCTTTTATTTTTTCTTTCACAAAATTTTTTATTTATTCTTTACTTTTCTGGATGATATTGTAATGATGAACACGTGGTGTTCAAAGAAAATCAACGGCGTAGATAATGTTTTCTTTTGATGATATAGTCGAAGATGAATATGAATATGGATATGGATGGCCCGCCCGGCATCTGAGTGTGACTGTGTGTCTTATCGGTATTTATTGATGGAGTAGGAACCCGTATCATTTCATTTGACAGAGAGAACCCTCTACGGCTCTAGTACCGTTTGATGCTGTTTTGTTACTTGATGCTACCAAAACAGCCCTTCTCTCTCATTGGTCTTAGCAGGTGCGTACGATTTACCGTGTTGTGTTTTGATTTATTTCCCCATTCACTTATTATAATAAGGTAAATTAAATTAAATAGCCTCCTCCATACGTACAATACAAATATATAATGCAGGGTAAGTAAAACCTGTGATGCCGGAAAGTGGGAAAGGTATGATACTGAATAAGCTTTGACCAATCAAAAGCAGCACTCTGTTGAATTTTGATGAATCACCTACTTGCTTACCACTTTTGACTTTTATCCTATCATACGTAAGTTTTTCCGACGGTATCATATCTTTGCATTAAACGTAACAAACAACTCAGGCCTCAGGGATCAGATCAGATAATGATCGTGTTAAGAACTACTATATACGAATGCCGTATTGAATTGATTATCTTATATATCCATACATGCACTGCTTTCCCTTGCACAGACACCAGTACAGAATTCCCCACTGTGAAAGCTGCTGTCCCACTCCCATATCATTGAATCTCTCTCTGTCTCTCTCTCTGAATGTGTAGGTGACGAATAATCACATCCCTAGCACTGTTACCAGGCCTGCTATGACAATCTCAAATTTATCTAGGGTTCAGTTGAGGCCGATGATCTGATTCTGAACTCTGAAGCGGGAGAGAACACCTCGTTCGTTGCACGCAACTGTGTTTGGTTTGAAGGAAAAAATATGGAAAGGAAGGAAAATACAGGAAAACCTACCTTTCCCTATTTTTTCCTTCAAACCAAACATAGTGTAATGGAATCTCGTCCAGCTCCGGGCTCCAGCCTACACACACAATACAAAATACAAGGGTTGTATTCAACTTGTGTTTTTTCACAGAAGAAAAAAGAAAAGGCGCAAGTTCAGGAAGTGGAAAAACGACAATCATCTCACCTGGGTGGATGCAGCGCGCGCGCGGCATCCCCGATTAATATTGCCTATACCGCAGTCCACAGATGATTAAAATATCCATGGCTTTTGAGCTTTGAGTTGAGTGAGGCCTGAGCAGGGCGAGGGGGCCGCCTCCTTTTTGACCTTCTCAGATGTGTTAACCCTTCAAGAATCAAGATGAAGAAAATAAGAGCATGTTTGGTATCGTGGGCGTTTTCTAAAAAACAGTGTCATGTTGGATCCATGTAGGTAATCCCACTTTTCACCGTTTATATGACTGTTTGGTTCAGACGATTTTCGAAAAATAGTGAAAAACGGGCATGTTTCGTAAATCTCATCTGTCCTGTTGCATGAAATATATCAAATTTGACATTTCTGCATCTCAACAGTTATATGATGTGGCATGGAAAAATGATATAATGGGTGCACATACATGAAAAACAGTTTACCAAACAATATTAGTGTTGCTTAATGCCTATCTGACAAAAACACTACCAAACTAATAAAGGTGTTTATTTGTAAAAAAATGGATTTAACAAGTATAGGTGTTTTTTTTTTGTTTTGTTTTTAAATCGACATCAAAAAACAATAGCTCCATAAATAACAGTTTATCTATTGCTGGGAAGTGTGATTAGCTATTGGATACCTTTGTCCCTTTATCTGCGATGGTTTCTAGGCTGCCATTGAATCCTATAGGCCCATTCTCCATTACTCCATTACAATTTATGAGGACCTCTCCTTTCTATATTTGATCAACATATCCACACATGTACGACCCAGAAGGGATAAATGAGGCCCTAAAGGTTAGTTTCTAAAGGGTGCCCCCATATATATATATATATATATATATTACAATAACCTAAGGTCATTTTCTTTTTCCTCATTATAGCCTTTTTAGCTATAGAAAAGTGACCTAGCAAGGATGTCTCTGGAGTGCGGCAAGATCGTAAATCATCAACAAACTTGTCTCTTCTCTTTTCATACATGTCTCGTACAGTAATCTATTGCTTGTTTTTCTATTACACTCTAGAGAAAAGGAATAGCTAGTAGCTAATTAGCTAGGGCCCAATAGAGAGAGAGATGAGGATTAAGGCAGGAAGTTCCATTTACATGATTGAGCTCATATCCATTCTCCACTCCCACACATATGCTATAGCCTCTAGCTATGAGGCTTATCCTTTCCCTTTGTATATTATATGTATATGAAATACAGTCCTGCTACCAAAATGACTTTACAAGAAGATGCCAGCTCTCATTGTTGGTAAAGCTTGCAGGTGTTGTTACCAATAAGTACCCAGATTTGATACCTTTCCTTCCTCGGCTTGAGATTGATCGGCCCAGTTCCAAATTGCCAATATTTCTATTATTGGACTGCAGAGACATATTGAATGACTTTGATTATGTATTTTTGCTCTCATGGTTTTCAAAGTCAAAACTGGAGTAAATAAAATCCATGCATTTTCTCATCAAATCGTCTCAACCTGTAAATTACTATTAATAACCTTAAAGAAAAACACTCTCAAACTCCATGGTATTTTTTAAACCTTCCTTTCAAAATACGCTCACATATGCATGGCAACTAAATTTTTCGATATCTGGCACGTTTTTTAGTGAGCAGAGGAAGATAGAGGGGGTGAACCGGTGAATGGATCAGATTTTTCAGATGGTGGTTTGGACGTGAAGCCAAGACAAGTATCGGAATTATATGGTAAAGATAAAGAAGAAAAATGCCTTTGGGCTCTAGCTCTACCCAAGAGTCGGCGAGAGCTATGAAGTTGAGGTTATTCCTGCTTTCTTCTGAGATACAGAGTAGATGGTGTGGCAGTGATGCTTCATATTATGCATTATCTCTCATGTTACACTTCTCATGTGGCCTTCGATAATGGTTATATGTGTCAACCACTGCTTAGGTGTAGATCTGCCGCATTACTAAAAATCATTTAATCATTTTCCTTTCACATGAGTTTGTCAGAATTTTAAGTTTCATTTTACTTTGGGCTAACCAAAGCCCAGCTCAAGGCTAGGGGCTGGGTATCTTACGCTGAATTTGGGCTTATATACAAACTAAATCCAAATTCCAAAGTTTGATTTTCGTTTCTTGGACTCAGAGCCCATTCCTTTTATCAAATATCTATTTCCATGGGTAAATTCACTTAATACTTACGAATTTATTTGTATTCTTTTAAATTACACAATAACCCTTTTATCATAAAAGGATATTGTTAGAATGAACAAAATTGTCTAATGTATGAATATCGCTTATCTGGAAAAAAAAGGTCAATCAATGGAAAGTTAGAAACTATAATCTCATCGACCAATCCCCCCCCCCTTACTATTCCCCTATTTTCTTCTTTTTTTTTATTAATTAGAAACCACAAAAGCTATCATTCCTTCTCATTTGCAAATATCTTCTCCCCTGTTGTTTAGTCAATGAATTGCACTTTTTTTGTTGCAACCACTGAGGATTTCACTAATTAATTAATTAACAATTTCAATAATTAATTTCCTTTGTGTATTGATCTCATTAATGCCCAAGTGAAGTCCAAACAGGATTGCTCAGAGAAGGTGAGCTAAATCTTTTTGGTCCACACCACAAAGTTGATACATTTGGTTTTGTATGGATTTTTTTTCATTATTTGAACACCCCAATATACTTTCAAAGAAATAACTGAAAAACTGTGTGGAATTTTTAAGGCCTAGATTTCACCCCATTTTATTTTTGATTCCAACGTTGAGGGTGAGAAGAACACCTTATAGGCATATCTGATCATGTATTTGTATGAATTTGACTACTTCTAGAGAAGTTGACCACTGCCAACCTGCCTAGAGACTTATTTGCAAAATGTTCAAATCATGGAAGTATTTGCACCATTTTTTCAAAATTATATAGGAGACTTTTTTTTTATTATGATCAAAATACAGGGTAGGTTTAGCAAGGTATGAACTGGTTGGCTGGTAAGGTCTCTAGCTAGTTGGTTGTTTGGGATTGAATCCCACCTACATCAGGGTTGGGGCAGTTATGGTTTTGGGGATGGGCTATCTCTGCTGTGTAACTCCACGGAGCAAAAAAAATAGAGGTAGATTTAGTGGGGTTCCTGCAAACAAAATCTCTACACACACTTTAGAAGCAAAGGGGTCCAATCCATATTGAGAGCATTTCCCCATGAACTTAACATACATATATGGAAGATATTCCAAATGTGCAATTAGATACTATGTATGCAGAGATTTTGGTTGTAAGAAGTGTGGACTTGTAAATTTATAAGGATTGTTAGAAAACCCAAAATGAGATTTTATAATTTCATCTTTTTGTTTTACTATAATCCAGTTCTTTTT